GGCAACCCCGATAGTAGGGTACGTTAAATACTGTAAATTGATCCTTGAATATTGATTAATAAAATATAAATATATCTGAACAATCAAATTGGTCCCGATTACATTACAACGATATTAAGGCACGAGGTTTGCTTTGAGCGATTGAGCGATTGAGCGACTAGACCGGAAGATGCTTGGCTTGAAATTTCTATAGCAAGGTTCAAATGTCGCGCCAATACGTTTCGGTGAAATAAACGTGTCCTTGAAATTGATCCTAACGAAGGACAGCCGATATACGTACTTCCGCATATTCACATAGTGCGTAAACGCGTCAGGCGTGCATGATGTCAGAAGGAAATGAAAATAATTTAACAACAAAAAAACCAGTCAATATATGCATAGCACAATATTCGAGATTCTGATTAGCTCGTTACAAGATGAAAACGTCGCTTACCACATTGCTCCATGCAGATGCCACAGATTGGTTTTGAGAAATTCGAATGCCGAATATTAATATGTGACCTCGATCCTGCCACGCACTGATAGAACTCACGCATTGCTGTGTTTTCGGATCTACAGGTGTGATCATATATATATATATATATATACAGCTGGCAGGTTTCTTTAAGTTAGATGGAATAGGACGCGATTGGCCCTCGGGCAATGCTAAAGTTTTTTTAACGATCCACTCCCTATAGCTTCCTGAGCGAGGTTCTTGCCCGTTGAGTTTAAAGAGAGACGGAAGAAAAAGATGGAGACGTGCGCGGAGACAAGGAGGAAGAAAACAGAAGACAATATTGTGTGTACATATATATGTGAAGTGGGAACGTTAAATCGCCATTCTTCTTCCTTATAGATCCAATATAATCGCGCTTCGTGCTTATGGGCTTCGTCCTCGCTCTCGAGTCATCGATATAAGAGCCTGCTGTTATTCGATACGGAGACCGGTTCGTTATTAATTTTTTGTCATTGTGTTTTCTCAGCGTAAAGAACAGAGGAGATCGAGACGCGTAAGGGAGGAGGAAATAGAAGATGACGGTAGAGAAGGGCAGGCAAAGTTGGATTTTGTGATTTTGCGAAATTGAAAGTAGTCGAGCGAGGTGAAAAGAAATTTGTGAAATTCAAAATAATGAAGCCGTTATCAATAAAATTTATACGATAATGATTAATCGATCTATTGCGAATCTTGTTCCCTTGTTTTTTTTTTTTTTTTTTTTTTTT